CAGACAGGAAGCTGAAATCTGACTTCCTGTTCCAGAGAGGAAGCTGAAACCTGACTTCCTGTTCCAGACAGGAAGCTGAAATCTGACTTCCTGTTCCAGAGAGGAAGCTGAAACCTGACTTCCTGTTCCAGACAGGAAGCTGAAATCTGACTTCCTGTCCCAGACGGGAAGCTGAGGCTGATTGGTAGTATTAAAAATGTTCGCTGCTCTTTGAGTGGCCAGTTTTTGAAAATCCTTGCCTGTTTTTTGCGTTCAGGACTCAGAAATGTATTCGTGGCTGCGCGTATTGATTCATTGCCCACATTAGAGCTGCATGATACTGAATATTGTTGGGCAGCAGTGAGCTAAGTCCTGCTAAATTGCTAATATCAGAACTAGCTTCTCATTTAGTAGATTAGCTTTTTTGCAAACGTAGTAAACCGTTAGTGGTGTTAAACAGTTTTGATAGTATTGTTCAGTCCTGGCCAACAACAGCTTGGTATTTTTCCACATAATGATTTAGTTTAACACACATCAGAAATGAAAATCATCACATCTGGACCAGTTTGAATCTCAGACCTGACCAACTGGGACCAGGAGAAATGCTGATCAGCTTTTAGTTCGAGGGAGCAAAGATGAAATCATAAAAAGAAAAACTAAATTATCCGTCCAAACGTTCTGCCAGAACCATTTATATTTAATATTTTGTGTATTTTAAATCAAAACGTCTGCTTATCTGTTGAAATTTTAATTTGTTCTTGATTTCAGAACACTGAAACGTCCAAAGACTGGTATAAGACCATGTTCAAACAGATCCATAAAATCCCAGGTAAGTGACTTTGTTTGGGTTTCCTTCCTCTCGATCAGTTTGTGACGTGTCTCTTGTGTTTTTGTCCCGCTGTCCTCTTGTCTCCATCGCTGTGCTCAGAACCTATTGAGGAAAACCCGTACCGTCCCACCTACATTTTCCCTGAGAACTATGATATTCACTTGAGATCCAAAGGTACCGCCGAGTCCAAACGTCCGGCTGGCTTCACTAATCTGCAGCAAACCTTTCTCTGCTCCGTAGAACCCGACCAGAACCAGCTGCTCTGATGTTTGTCCAGAACAGAACCCAGTAAATAGGAGGAGTTTAGTTCAGGTTTCCTGTTTTATGAGTTCAGTTAACGTGAAGTAAATGTCTTACCTGCTCCAGATAAATCTCTGAACGTCCTCAAGTTAAAAAAAAAAAGAAGTTCAAATCGACTGTTTTAGAGCAGAGCATCAGGTCTGTTCAGGTCCATCAGGTCTGTTCAGGTTCATCAGGTCTGTTCAGGTCCATCAGGTCTGTTCAGGTCCATCAGGTCTGTTCAGGTTCATCAGGTCTGTTCAGGTCCATCAGGTCTGTTCAGGTCCATCAGGTCTGTTCAGGTTCATCAGG